CTTAAGAACGACATGCACCCTCGCATGGGAGTCCTGGTTTTTGAGGTGAACCCCGATGGCAAGATCCAGGACATCAAGGTCTGGATAGGTTCCCTGGAAAACGACAAGGCCGACTTGGGCGACAGCGGCCTGAGTCAGACCTTGCTCCTGTCGCAAGAAGCTGCCCTCGCGGCGAGTGCCTTGCCAACATGAGAACACCACGTTACTTGTGCTTCTTTTTGCGGATCAGTCCCTGCCCATACCATGTGATTGCGCCACAGATAACGCAACGTCTCCAGGCCCCGAGCCCACGGAGTGTTTGCGTTCCAGCAGACAGCCGTCCCTGCAGCAAACGCACAGCTTCAAGACAGCTGCCGAGAAGGTGAAAGCGCTTGACCTCAACGCTGTGGTAGCCGTTCTCGGGAAGGATGGCTACTCGCCCAGCAAGGCAGCAAGCCTTGCGGAAGAGTACCGAAAGTACTTGACCCTGGTGGGTGCCGGCCTGAACCCTGTGCCTTCGCAGCAGGTGGATGATGCGTGGCATGCCCACATCCTGAATACCAAGAAGTACCAGGCTGACACACGGGCGCTGTTCGGCCACGTCCTCCATCACGAGCCGGCCAACCTTCTCCTGGACCAGCAGGGCATGACAGCACAGAAATCCTCCATGGACGACATGTTCTTACAGACCAAGATGCAGCTCTGCGACTTCTATGGTCGCGTCAACGAAGCCGTGTGGTCCAAGGAAGACGTCGCCCTGTGCCTTTGCGCCTGCGGCTGCGGCTGCGCTTGCGGCTGCAGCTGTGGCTGTTCCTGCGCTCCGAGCCCCCCACCGAGCCCGAGCCCGCCCCCGAGCAGTGGCTGCTGATGCTGCTGAGCCCGTGCCTCTGAGAGTCCTGTTTCCCCTGTGGCCCAAAGTTTCTGCAGTATATGCCGTTTCAAGAGCCTTTGAGTTTCTTTCAAGTTTCATAAGTTTCCAGATCTGCCTGGAGCCAGCGGGACCGGGAGAGCAAAACAGAGCGCAGAACCGCGAGATGTGGGAGAGGCATGGAGAGACGTGAGACGACTGGAAACCCATGGAAACGTCCCAAACCCCACCCGAACAGTCCAAACATGTGCTTGCGGCGAGGCAGCTGTCCGCGAGGTGTCAACCTGGCTCCAATCTTCAGCGATGCCGTCTGCTCATCACGGCTCGAGCATTGAGTGATCATCTCCCTCGTACTTACCGTGCATCCACCTTGGATAGCTTTGCATTGCCATGAAGGCTGTGTGCCTCGTGGCTTTCTTGTCCCTTTCTTTAGGGGCTTCTGCTGGATCCCAGCCGGTGGCGACAGATGCGACCGGGACGTCTGGGATGCAAGCCGAGTCCGAACAGTCCGAACAGTGCCAGTCTGGGAGCCTCATCCAGCGTTCCTCCCAGAAGGCGATGCTGCCCACGAAGGCGACGCTTGGCGAGGCCGAGGTTGCGGAGCCAGAGATTCCACCGAACAAGATGAACAAGAAGATGAACAAGAAGATGAGCAACAAGATGAACAAAAAGATGCAGAAGAGGGAAAAGATGCAGAAGGAGCACGGAGATCTCCTGGCCTTCCTCGCCCAGTCAAAGGAGTCAAAGGAGCTGGTGCCTCCAGGAGATTCTGAATGCACACCGACAGGAGCCCTGCGCCTGTCATCTCCGCCTGTTTTGTCTTGAATATTTTTTCTGCTTGTTTTTTGCACTTTGCATGTCGCCCGGAGTCGGCTCTCTTCCTTTGCGAAATTCTGCTCAGGAGTTCTTTCTTCTCAGATTTTTTCTCAGGAGCTCCTCTGGCGGGCGAGAGCAAGGCGAAGTTCGAGCTGCTTTTGCAAAAGGTCGCTGCCCTCGACCTGGATGCTGTCATCGCCCGCCTTGTCAAGAAGAAGGACTACATGCCCAAGATTGCTAAGAGGGCCGCCGATGAGTACCGCAAGTTCCTGGTGTTGATGGGCATGGGGGAGACGCCGGTCGCGCCCAAGATGGTCGTTGATGCCTGGCAAGCCCACATCATGCCACCTGTCCTGACCATGTGGGCTTACTAACTGTTAGCTGCCGACACGTCCGCGGACCGGCGGACGTTCGTCGGTTGCAGTTTTCTAGCCTTGGTAGTCCGAAGCCCAGGTTCACACAGACGTACGAGCGGGACTGCCGTGAGGTGTTTGGCCACTTGCTTGAACACGACCCCCTTGCTCAGCACTTGGAAGCCAGTCGGCTGGAGCAGATGCAGCAGCAGATCTGCGACTACTTCGGCATGGTAGACCGACTTGTTTGGGAACAGCCGGCAAAGGCCGTCGGCCTCTCCCAGAGCATGGACCCTGCTGCCACCATGCAGCAGTGGCTTGACCACATCAACGAGAAGTCGATCTTCCGTGAGGACCTCATGACGGAGGATGTCCATTTGATGGTGCTTTCGCAACACAGCTCCAATGCCACGACCTTTGATGGCAGAATCGAAGCTCTGTCCTTCTTCCACCAGCATGGGCATGCCGACAGCGCACGCGAGTTCCTTTCCGTGACCCCCGGTGCCTTTGCCATCGAGACGACAAAGAACCTGCGCATGGGGGCTGACGTTTTCGAGGTGAACTCGCAAGGCCAGATCTTCGACATCAAGATCTGGATGACCTCCTTGAGAAAGGACAAAGAGGACTTGAACGACGCGGGGCTAACAACTCTGGGCAACGGATCGCAGGCCGGCATCTCAGTAGCAGCTGAATCGCGGAGGCTCATAAGCTGATTCTAGAATAGGCTTGCATAGACCTCTTGAGCGTGCGGCTTCGTGCATCTCTCTGACAATCTGTCGTGCCATGTCGTGCCATGTCGTGCCATGTCGCGCCATGTCGCGCCATGTCGTGCGCCAGACTTGAGGCGCTGGTCGATGCCGGGGAGACAGACGTCACCTTGACCAAGGCTGCCATGGAGTCCTGGATGCAAAGCCTCAACGCGGAGCCGAAGGAAGAGCTTCTGGCGGACGATGTGCGCATGCTTCGGATGTCGCAAATGGACATTGAACCCGAAATTCATACTGGGAAGGCTGACGTGATGAACTTCTTCCGGGACTTCGAGCATGCCAGCGGGGCCCGAGAGTTCCTTTCTGTGGACGGAGGTGCCTTCATGCTCGAGCTTAAGAACGACATGCACCCTCGCATGGGAGTCCTGGTTTTTGAGGTGAACCCCGATGGCAAGATCCAGGACATCAAGGTCTGGATAGGTTCCCTGGAAAACGACAAGGCCGACTTGGGCGACAGCGGCCTGAGTCAGACCTTGCTCCTGTCGCAAGAAGCTGCCCTCGCGGCGAGTGCCTTGCCAACATGAGAACACCACGTTACTTGTGCTTCTTTTTGCGGATCAGTCCCTGCCCATACCATGTGATTGCGCCACAGATAACGCAACGTCTCCAGGCCCCGAGCCCACGGAGTGTTTGCGTTCCAGCAGACAGCCGTCCCTGCAGCAAACGCACAGCTTCAAGACAGCTGCCGAGAAGGTGAAAGCGCTTGACCTCAACGCTGTGGTAGCCGTTCTCGGGAAGGATGGCTACTCGCCCAGCAAGGCAGCAAGCCTTGCGGAAGAGTACCGAAAGTACTTGACCCTGGTGGGTGCCGGCCTGAACCCTGTGCCTTCGCAGCAGGTGGATGATGCGTGGCATGCCCACATCCTGAATACCAAGAAGTACCAGGCTGACACACGGGCGCTGTTCGGCCACGTCCTCCATGTATTCTTGTTTATTTTTTTTTTTTTTTTTTATTTTGTTTTTTTTTTTTTTATTTTTTATATATATTTTTTTTTTTTTTTTTTTTTGTATTTTGCCGCGCTTGAAGAGCACCTCCGCTCCATGTAACCCAACTGCCTCTTTCTGGCCCATCACGCGCACCGGGTTTTAGGCACCAGGTGTTGTTTCAGAGCGCTTGGTGGGTGGGGGAGCGGTTGCTTGTGCTAGCCTCAGCTCGTTGTGCCGAACTCCATGCACGACAATGAACCGAAGTAGCATCTAGGAATCTAGGGCACTTTTCAGGAGAGCAGCTGTGTCTGAGCGACGGTCACCCTGTCACCCAGCTGGAAGGCACGAGCCATGGCCATGTTCCCCAAGCAAAACGCGCAAGCCGCAAGCTAGTTCTACGACTTCTACAAGTCGGCTACGAAAGGGGGCCCTAACATCACCCAACAGAAGAGTGTCTACAGAGCATCCCCTCACCCCTAGAAGACAGTCCGAAGAATTGTGCAAGTAGCCCCGAGCATGCTGATCCTCACGTCTACGGCGACCCTAAGGCAGCGCAGGAGTTGAGCAAAATGGCAAATCGAAGGATAGTTGGGTCCAAGCAAAACATCTTGCCTGTGGGCATGCGCACCCCCTCCGTTGCTCCTGGCGTGGCCCCATGCACTGGACACAGAAAAACGTACAGCCAACGGCCTGGGTTTCAGGCTCCGAAGTATAGACGTGCACTCACTAGAGATGATGTTCGAACAGCTGAGCTTACGGCATTGCTGTACGGAATCTTCCCCTTTTAGGGACACGTACCCGGGAACGTGGACATGCGAGCAACATCGGCGCTCGTCAGCGGAATCTGAAAAACCCCAACCCCCCCATCCAAAATCCTGCGCTTGCAGCGGCTGAAAGTTAGCCGTGCCTTGATAGCGTTCACAGTCACGATCATCTCAACCTGCAAACTGCGACCTACGATCCTGATCTGCAACTGATGCAACATACTTCGGTTATGCAAATGCCAGGCTTTAGCAGCAGCATTCAAAAAAACAAGTTCGCCAAAACACGACAGGTGTAGTTTAAGAATAGAACTGATCATAGCATACTGATGATTATGGAAGTACTAAAGGAATCATTCAGGCTCCGACCTCCGCAAAAAAAAGGCCCCAGGAAGACTGTTCACCCGTCCTCCCCCCGACCCGCGTCCCCTCGCCGAAGAAATTGTCTGCTGAAGGTAGGGGTGTGTTCAGACAGTCGTGGGTTTAGGGTTTAGGGTTTAGGGTTTAGGGTTTAGGGTTTAGGGTTTAGGGAAGCCATCCTTCGCATTCACCCCCCACATGAACGAAAGCCACAGGCCCTCATCCTACACCCGTGGTGGCAGCATCCGATTTATCTCGGCCAGAAGGACTCGACGGATTGGCCCGAGCAGGGCTACCCTAAACCCTAAACCCTAAACCCTAAACCCTAAACCCTAAACCCTAAACCCTAAACCCTAAACCCTAAACCCTAAACCCTAAACCCTAAACCCTTTCACAGTCACGACTCCCCCTCCCCTCCCGACATACATCTTGGCTGCACTCAGAAGGGTAGCTAAAAATGAAACTTTTAGCTGCCTTATTCAGAAACCCAATAAGACCCAAAAAGGCTAAAGATGTAAAGTTACAGTAAAGCACCACAAAGACATTACTTAACATAAAGAAATGCCTTAGGGGTTTAGCCGTTAGCCTGTCTTTGCGAAACCCGCACCGTCAGTCTCCACAAAGCCATGCAGCAGCGTCTGAGGCGCACGCTGCGTTTCCGAAGGTGGCATTCATTAGTCCGCCTATCATCTGGCCAGTGTGGACCTCGGGCGTTGCTATGCGGTGCTGCAGAAGTAACTTTAAGGCTTTTAAGGTGTAAAGGTGTAAGCTCGTGTGTAAGCTTATGAGCAGCTTCTCCGTGGCTCTGAAGGGAGGGGGAAGGATCAGGCTGCAAAGATGGGAATAGCTATTGAAAGCAAAAAGCACAGCCCATCCAAAACTACCCTTCTTCAAGGGACGACAGGAGGGAACCTTAAGGGGTAAGGGAGGGGCTGCTTCGGTGTTTAGGGACTATATAAGGTATACATAAGCGCTATTATCGAGGGGAATAAGAATACGTTTAAGGATCCCTTCTA